AAAGCAGAACTTCTCTGGTGAACTGTCAGCTCGGGTCCTGTCGTCCTTTCAGACTCAAACAAGTAAAATCTCTAACCAAGCCTTTTAACCAGCTCCTACTTAGAAATTACCAGCTATTGGCCACGGAGGACCCCTCTCACTCCTCTGCAGAACGCCTGACGCACTGAAAGTCACCGATGGCACTTGTTCCTAACCACCATAGCTGCAGATGCCTGGATGATCTCTCCCGCAACCTCTTACACCCACTGGACACAGCAGATGGCCGACTTATGGCTCCAAGGGACCTTCATGGATTTCTCCCCCCTTGAAATCACCCTATTTACCACTCTCCTTTGGGGTATAATAAAGGGCTTCCTTCTCCTCCCTGTTCCTCCCCCCTCAACACCCCTCTCCAGCAGGAAGTAGCTCAAAGACCTAGACGATCTTACCCCTCAATAGAGGAAAAAGGGAGGAATGTAGGGCCCCATAAAACCCCAAAGGAGACATTCCCTAAAACATGGCGCCTTTCTGGCTTCTCTTCTGGGTCCTAACATTCCCGCCGGTGCCAAAGTATGGCCTATCAAAATCATCACCCACCCTTCCGACCAATCAGCCACCGCCCCGCGTACCAACCACCCTCTCCTGGAACTCAGCTCTCTATAAATGTATGCTTCACCCTCAAATAAAGCGGAACCTCTCCGTTGAACTGTCAGCTCGGGTCCTGTCGTTCTTTCAAGGAGCTGTCTCCAAAAGCAAAGCTTTGGCCAAGTGGAGTGCGGATAACCCCTTGCTGGTGGTTGGAGAAGATCTTTCTGTATAGGACAGGTGGCTGGCCTAGATAACCCCAAGACCTTTCCCAACTTGGAGGCTCTGTGGATGACAGCTTCTCCTTTAATATGTGATTCAAGATTATGAAACAATGAAATGCATCTCTTCACCAACACATGAAAGTCAGTGTTATTTTACATTAATACCCATGGATAGCTAAATCAAGAACATTATAGGCTGTCCATATATTTTATAAGGATATAATCTTAAAATTCTAAATTCTAGATGGTACAATACAAGATCTGTTTCACAATGAAAGATTAAATATGTTTTTTGACCAGTAGATTAATTTTTTTTTTAAGTTTTAATTTTTCTTTTTTTTGGCAGCTGGTTGGTGCAGAGAACCAAACCCTTGACCTTGGTGTTACAAGGCGGTGCTCTAACCAACGGAGCTAACTGGCCAGCCCTTGGCCAGTAGATTTAGTGCTTATATTTTTTCTTCCTCCTGGTGAGAGGAGTGGCCAGGATCTTTACTATGATTTTTTTCATACTTTCTTCCATTAGCATAATCCTCATCCAAAACATCACTTCAAATTAGAGCAGGGAATGGCAGAGCCAGTCTTTTATGCCTAAAGTTTGCACAATTTTTCTTAATCCCCCTATAAAAGGTTAATGTACACTTCTTGACAGAATGATAGCATGATTTCAAGAATTAACCCAAAATCTGCTTTCTCGCATGCATTTGGAACACATTGCTTACTCCGGTGTTTAGTTTGATTGGCAGGCCTGTCCGTATTGAGAAGATCCTTGAATGAAGATATTTAATTCTGTCAACAGGAACTCTGTTAATCAATTGCTGGGAACGGAGAGAGGGACGCTTGATGTTTGGGATATCTGTGCTGGAATCTGCCAAGACACAAACCCTAAACCAAACCAAAAACAAAAACAAATACAAATTCTCAAACACACAAAACATTTCATTTTGTTTGGATTTAAAGAATGAAAATCGTATCTTATTTGAAAAAAAAAAAAAGAAGTTAGGACAAGAATAATAGGAAAAATTAAAAATAAAAAGGAGCGGCATCTAGGTTATATAATGGGCAGCAAGCCTATACTGGCCATGTACTTACTAGCAAGATCTTAAATAAGTATTAAGCATTGAGTTAACTAATCAATGACTTTTCCAAAGAACTGTTGCAAGACTAGCATGAATATATTTTATTATTTTTCTTAAAAGCTACTGCATATAAATTAAAAATGATACACCATTTAACATCTATTTTATGAGCAAAACTGAAAATCAGACAACACAGCACTGCTAAGACTCTAGGCCAGGACTTGGAAAAGTGTGGCCAGAGGACCAAATCCACACTCAGGCATATCTTTGTAAGACCTTGAGCTCAGAATGGATTTTATGTTTATTTGTTTGTTCAGTGGCTGGCTGGTATGGGGATCTGAAGACTGTATATATATATATATTTTTTTTCCTTTTTGTCTTTTTTTCGTGTCCGGCAACGGATCGCAACCCTCAGTGTCGCGCCCGTACTGGACCGGGACCGGCAACGGGATCGCAACCCTCGGTGTTGCTCCCACACCTCGCTCAGCCAGTGAGCGGGAACTGGTCTGTATGTGGGATCCGAACCCTCGGCGGGAGCGCCACCGTGCTCCCAAGCGGCGCACTGTAGCAGTGCGCCACCAGGCCGGCCCAGAAGACTGTATATTTTTAAATGGTTACATGTTAGATGGTCACATAAGTACCAACATAATATCCTTGATAATGCCACTTAGCCTAGATAGCATAAAATACTTACTATCTGGCCCTTTAAGAGAAAGTTTGCTGACAACTGATCTAAGCAAAAAGATGTGTTCACTGTTGGCAGCAAAGTGTTAATGTGCCAAGAAACTTATTTCTATTCACAGTCTTTGGGCCATTATTCTACTCCTTTGAATTTGTCACAGCAAAATAACCCAGGAAGCTCATTTTCCCCTCAGTACAGTTCTGTAAAAGATGGTGCATTTTTTTTTTCATGTTTAACAATCTTGAATTCAAATGTAAAAGTTCAATATAAGCCATTTGTAGGGCTTGGGATTTGTTGTTCTATTAAAAAACAAGAATGGGGAATTGCAAAAAAAAAAAAAATCTTTCCACTTTTCAAAACTCTCAAGGAAAGGATAGATCCTAGGGCCATAAAAGATCAACTTAACCAAATCCACTTTCTCCCCCTACCGATAATGTTATATCCATTCCATAATCTTAATACGCATGCCTGAATGAAGATTTACAGCTAAGCTTTGCTTATACAACCATTTAAAAACACTTAGCACCAGCTTGCTTCCTCTAATGCCAAACAGATCATGAAACTATTTCAATATGCATTTTTTGTTTTTAAAACAAAGGAGAAATTATGTGTAGAAGGCAATGCATAGCCTCCAGATACATTCCCCAGAAATCACATATGCCACTCAAAGGCACTCTCATACTTTCAATGGAATACCTAGACTAATGTGCGTAGAAGCATGAACGGCAAATTAAAGATCAACATTATAACTATTTTTCTATTTATCTGAAGCACAGTGAAAAAAAATTGGTACACTTTGGAAATTCAGTGGCACAAGGTATACTGCCATAACTTGAGGGACATTATGCAGTTAAAAAAAATAATAATAAAGAAAAAGGAAGAAGATTTTCTGTTATTTCAAACACTGTATTACATAATTTTAGCTGCCCCAAAAGACCATTTCCAAATATTATGTCAATAAACAGTTAACATCGGAAAAAGGTAGCATTCTTACTAAAATGCAAGAATTTAAAAGATTGGTATCTAAACAAGAAAAGACAAAAACAAATTTTAAAAAGTGGGTTTGGTTAAATGCATCTTTTATGGCCCTAGGATCTATCCTTTCCTTGAAAGTTTTGAAAAGTGGAAGGTCACTTTCTTGCATTTCCCCACTCACATCTAAAATCGGGGTTTTTTTGTTCGGGCCTTCATACTATTCTCTCCTTCTACGATGTCCTGCTGGAGGTGTGTCTGTTGTCTACCTCTGTGACTCAGATTATCCTGAAAGTTAGCAGCTTAGAACAACAGGGAACACTTTATCTCATGCAGTCTCTGTGGGTTAGGAATTCAGGAGTGGCTTAGCTGGGTGGTTGTGTCTCAAGGTTTCTCATGAGGTTGCAGTCAAGCTATCGGCCAGGTCTGCAGTTGTCTGAAGGCTCACCTGGGGCTGGAGAACTTACTTCCAGAGGCAGAAACTATAAAGTTTCCCATTACCCATCCTCTCCTTAATAATAGGGAGAAAATCCCGTTATTAACATCTTGCATTAGTGTGGTACATATGTTATAATCTATGAACTAGTATTCCACCAGGCTCTTTTTTTTTTTTTTTTTTAATGCAAGTTGACAAGTTTTTTTTTTTTTTTATTCATTTTCTTTTGGCTGCTGGTCTGTATGGGTAATGCAAGTTGACAAGTTTATTTATTTATTTATTCATTTTCTTTTGGCTGCTGGTCTGTATGGGGATCTGAATCCTTGACCTTGGTGTTACCAACACTGTGCTCTAACGAAGCAAGCTAAGTGGTCAGCCCAACAAGTTTATTTTAAAATTTACATGGTGATGCAATAGTCAAAACATTCTTCAAAAATAGAACAAAGCTGGAAAAACTATATACATCATGACTTCGAGACCTACTACAAAGCTACAGTAATCACAACAGTGTGATACTGTCATAGGACAGACAAATAGATCAATGAAAAAGAATAGGGAGTGTAAGAACACTCATCAATCAATTGATTTTTGGTGAAGGCATCCAAACAATTCAATGTGGAAAGAAAAGTCTTTTCAACAAATAGTTCTGACTCACCTGGATAACCATGTGAAAGAAAATGAACTTTGACCCCTTATTGTGCCATACACAAAAATTAATACAAGATAGATCACAGATATAATGTAAAAGCTAAAATGGTAAAGTTCCTAGGAGAAAAAGTAGGAGAATAACTTTGTGACCTAAGGGTAGGCAAATGTTTTTTAGACAGAATACAGTAAATAATAACTATAATACAAAAATTTTAGAAATTAACCTTCATAAAAATTTAAAACTTCTCATCAAAAAAAGCTGCCACTGATGGGGCCGGCCCGGTGGCGCACTGCTATAGTGCGCCGCTTGGGAAGTGCGATGGCGCTCCCGCCGAGGGTTCAGATCCCACATACAGACCGGTTCCCGCTCACTGGCTGAGCGAGGCACGGGAGCAACGCCGAGGGTTGCGATCCTGTTGCCGGTCCCGGTCCAGTATGGGGGCGACACTGAGGGTTGCGATCCATTGCCGGACATGGAAAAAGACAAAAAAAAAAAAAGCTGCCACTGAGAGGATGAAAAAATAAGCCACAGACTAGAAGAAAATACAAACAAAACTGTAAAAAAAAATAATCTAAGTGATTCATTTTCAGAAATAATTCAGGCCCAGCCAGAAAGTTGTCTGACTGGTCCAGCCCATTCTTGGGGGGGGTCACTGAATAGATAAAGTTGCCCTTGGGCCGGCCCGGTGGCACACTTAAGAGTGCGCCACTTGGGAGCGCAGCGGCGCTCCCCCCGAAGGTTCGGATCCCATGTGGAGACCAGTTCCCCGCTCAGTGGCTGAGCGCGGTGCGGGTGCAACACCGAGGGTTGCAATCCCGTTGCCGGTCCCCGGTACGGGCATGACACCGAGGGTTGCGATCCCGTTACCGGTCAGTAAAAAAAGACAAAAAGGAAAAAAAAAAAAAGTTGCCCTTGAGATGGTAATGAGTTAATAGCCCTTTATTGTTCTCTTCATTTTCTAATGCTTCTCCTTTCACAGGGTTTTGGGTGGGCCTTTTTCAAGGGTTTGTCCTGAGCCCTCAGACAAAGAAATTTCCTACAAGGGGGTAGTAAACTGGGGTTCTCTCAGATGTCATCCGGGAAGATTGTGCACCTGGACCAATGAAAAGGCAGGGGCAGGGACTTGTGCACTAGGGAATAAATTGCTTGTTGCAGCCCTTTTCCGTGTGCCTGCCCGTCAGACACCCGAAACTTGCAAGGCTGTAATTAAAAGTCTTGCTTTGCTGTACCTCGTGTCTCCATGTCCATCCTTTGGCCTTCGACTGGTGAGGGTGTTTCTCACAAAAACATACATCTAACAAGAGATCTGTATCTAGAACATATAAGAAATCCAACAACTGAAAAATTAAAACTAAGATGCAGATTTAATATTTGTGTACCTTTTGGTATGTATGTTGTACTTCAATAAAAATGTAATTGTCTTTTTAAAAAAAGCCTTGGGCCAACCCCGTGGCTCACTCGGGAGAGGCCGGCGCTGGGAGCGTGGCGGCGCTCCCGCCACGGGTTCGGATCCTATATAGGAATGGCCGGTGCGCTCACTGGCTGAGCGTGGTGCGGACAACACCAAGCCAAGGAGTGTGATCCCCTTACCGGTCACAAAAAAAAGGAAAAAAAAAGCCTTGATGGAACTATTTAACTGAACATCAGAAATATCTTGAGATAGAATCAATGGACTGGATGTCAGATCAGAAGATATGTAGAATGCAGCTCGGGGAGACAAAGAGTTGGAAAATATGAGAAAGAAGTTAAAATTCACACAGTATAGAGAATAAGAAGTTCTCCTATGTCTAAGTGGAGTTCCAGAATGAGAAGAGAAATCTGAGCAGAGGCACCACATGAGCAGACAATGGCCAGATGTTATAAACTCACGGAAGACATCAATCCACAGCCAGAAGTCCATCAAATCTCAAGTAGAAAAATTAAAAAGAAAAGCATACCTAGACACCATAGTGAGACTGCATATCTAAAACAAAGAGCATCCAGATTACTTTCAAAGAAACGGATAAACCTACTTTTCATCAGTAACAACAGACTGTGCAACAGTATTTTCAGTGTAGTGAAGGAAAAAAACTTTCAACCTGGTTGAAATGCCTTCAAAATGAGAGAGAGATGAAATTATTTCCAGACCCAAAAACCTGTGGGTGTTTGGCACCAGCATAAAAACACTAAAGGGCACCGTAAAGAATGTACTGCAGGCAGAAGGGAAGTCGTAAGAAACAAGTGGTAAGAGCACAGAAAGAGGTATATATGTTCATGGCTCTGTGTGACCACTGGCTTCCTCAAACAACAGTAATGACGTTTGTGGAGTTAAAAAAGAGAATTAAATTATACAGAAATAGTATATAAGTTGTTGTTGGTGGGATGTGTGTGAATGAAATTAAGGTGTTCCGAGGTCCTGGTATTTTCCAGAGGCAGAGTAAAGACAGTAACTTGCTTGAGACTTTGGGAAATTACATATGTGTGTCTCAATATCGAGACTGATCACCAAAATAACACAATAATAATGCATACTCTCCAACCAGTGTGTGTGTGTTTAGGGGGATAATATAGGAGGAGAAAAAATAATCCAAAAAACAGAGAGAAAAAGTCACGTAGACCAGGCAGGACTATAAAATATAAATATAGGATAGCTAACATCCAGAAGACTGAGAATGATAAGTGCTGGAGAGGTTGTGGAGAAAAAGGAACTCTCATCCACTGTTGGTCGCAAAATGATGTAGCCTTTATGGAAAATGGTATGGAGATTCCTCAAACAATTGCAGATAGATCTACCATATGACCCAGGGATTCCACTGCTGGGAATATACCCAGAGGAATGGAAATCATCAAGTTGAAGGGATACCTGTACTCCAATGTTTATTGCAACCCTGTATACAATAGCCAAGAGCTGGAACCATCCCAAATGTCCATCATCTGATGAGTGGATAAATAAACTGTGGTATATCTACACAATGGAATACTACTCTGCTATAAAAAAGAATGAAATACTGCCATTCGCAAGAACATGGATGGACCTAGAGAAAATTATATTAAGTGAAACAAGTCAGGCACAGAAAGAGAAATATCACATGTTCTCCCTTATTTGTGGGAGCTAAAAATTAATAAACAAATAAACACACAAACAAATAAAGGGTGGAGGTGGGGGGAAGAAGACAGAATAACCACAAAAATTCCTTGAACTATTTAAATCTAGTCCACAGATACAATGTGGGGGGGGAGGGAAGGGGATGGAGAGGAATGGGTAAAGGGGCATGAAAATCAAATACAATATATTTTGAGAAGTAAAATAAAATAACATAAAATTTAAAATATATATATAAATATAAGATATCAAATAAAATGATACACAAAATTTGAATATATCATGAATAATACTCATAAACAGACTACATGTTCTAGTTTAAAGACAATATTGTCAATCCGGATAAAATAATATCTGTTTTCATTGCCACTCCGTGGCCTAGTGTGACCCCCGGGTAGTTCACATGCAGTGCTCCTTCAAGGCCTTCCTAGAACTGTGTCGCCACTGACAACATGCAAATTGCTTGGTCGATGAATCAGCCAACCCTAGAGCTGCCCTACCTTGAGAATTGTTTTTAAATGAAATAATAAATCCTCTTTATTGTTTAAACCAGCCGAGTTGGGGTTATCTGTTACTCGTAGGCAAAAGCATCCTAACTGATAGATACGATGCCTTTTTCTGTTTTTCATTCTTAGAAATTCCTGTTAAAACCTGTTTGTTGAATATTACATTCAGCATTATATCCATGATCCAATATACCCATTATTGGAAGTACTAGTGAGAGGCTGGAAGACCATTCAGTGAGGCTGTGATGGACAAAGATTCAGCATTGGACAAAGTTTAGATAGATGACCTTTAAGGTCCCTTTCAATCCTAAAATTCTGGAGTCTGCAGTTTTATACTCACTTACCGAATGAAGACATCCTCCATGGTGGTGACAGAGACCCCAAAGCTGGAGATGCCCAACTCTGTCTGCCTCAGTTCCAAGTCAGTAAATAAAGATTCAAACCTGGAAGGAAAGAATGGTTTTATTCCGAAAGATGGAAGGTAAATCCCTCATCACCACCCTTGGCTGTTTACAGGGAAGAAAGCATGGGCTTTGAAGTCAAGAAGATATCTGTTCAAATCCCAACTCTCTTACTCTCCAGCTTCATAATGGTGTGAACTTGAACAATGAGAGTTTAACACCATTTACTTCAGAAGGTTGCTGTATGGATAAACCTAAAACACATCCATCACATTATAGATGCAAAGTAATTACTAATTCATTTCTTACTAAATGACAGGCACTATTCTTAGCCTTTTTACATGATTAACACTGTCATCCTCTCAACAGATCTTTGAGGACAGTGCTGAGAGGCTAAGAAACTTCCCTGAGGTCACACAGCTGGCAGAGCTAGGACGCAAACTCAGGCCTTCTATCTCCTGAGACAGCACCCTTAACTGTTATGCTAAATGAGGCAAGAAGCTAATTCTTATTAGTCTAACCTTGAACCCTTCCTTGTATATACCTTCTGTTTTTTTGAACTGAATAATTCACAGCTTTTTATGTGATATTGAGAAGTCCATCACAATCTTCTACAATGGAGGCTCCTATTCTCTCACAACCCAGTATCCAGTCCAACGAAGTGCTTTTAAGAAACCACACTCACATGTCAGATGCCCATAAGAGGTCTGCACCGTTTATGCCCCTGCTGGCAGACGGTGGTTAAGGGGAGGAAGGGGAACCTGAAAGGTGCCTTCCCCATACTGATCAGAATCCTTTATTTGAATGTGCACTCTGGCTGGGGTGTGATGTCTTTCCAGGAAATGCCAAAGGTCTAAGGGTCCAAACCCTGACAACAATGGGTGCCCTTGCTCAGCTGCAGACAGGGGAGAAAACTCTCAACGCTCCACACATGCAGAAGACTCCTGCAGCCCTCTCGGGTCCATACCTGTACACATTCTCTTTAGGAAATATAAATGTTAATTCTTCTCCAATGCTGGACTCCAAAACTGCATTTGGTATGTGATGATAAATCAGATGAGAAATGTCCTCTGTGTTACAATGAGGTTTTTTCAGTAAAGTCATATAATACCCTCCACCTGAAACACCATTTAAAAGACCATGAATCACTTTTATTCTTTATACTTCTCTTCTTGGGCCACATTTAGTTTTCTATAGCTTAGAATGGGACAGCTCCATCAGAAAGAATCTGGAGAGCCCCACGGGGTCAAAAGTAAACCACAATGAACTCCCCTTGGAAGCTCTGTAGTGTACTCTTGAGAGTCTTCCCTTCTGCTCAGGACTGGGAGGTAATAATGGTGCATTTAGTGATGCTGCACAAAATGAAAGAGGGCTGCTTTAGGGTGACACTCCTTTAAGTGATAATTAACTTGGGGAAGTGAAAACTTAACAGGCAGAGGCCTTGAATGTTAAGGTAAAGAACAAAGATAGTTGTATAATAATTAAATCATGATTTTGAGGATACATACCTTACTGCATTTTATATATTCTTTCAGATATTAGTACCACTTGTTACTATTATGCTGGCAATGTCCTCATTCAACTAACATTTCTTGAGGCCCTAGGATGTGACAGGCTCTGTTCTAGGTACTGAGGGTAAAGCAGTGGACCAAGAGTCAAAAATTCCTACTCTGGGCCGGCCCAGTGGCGCACTGCGCTAGTGCGCCATTTGGGAAGCGCGGAGGCGCTCCCGCCGAGGGTTCGGATCCCACATACAGACTGGTTCCCACTCACTGGCTGAGCGAGGCGCGGGGGCAATGCCGAGGGTTGCGATCCCGTTGCCGGTCCCGGTCCGGTACGGGGGCGACACTGAGGGTTGCGATCCGTTGCCGGACACGGAAAAAGACAAAAAAAAAAAAAAAATTCCTACTCTGATGGGGTTTTCTCTAAAGGGATGGGAGACAGACAATAAACAAGATAAATACATAAAATTTGTAGGGTATTAGTGACAAGGGCCAAAGAGAAAAATAAACAAGGGAGGGGACAGGGGGTGTTGAGGGGTGTGGTTTTAAACAAGGTGATGAAGGAAGGCCTCACTGAGAATGTGACATCTGTGTAAGGACAGCCAAGTGGTGACCTGAGGAAGAGAAGAAGGGACAGCAACGCATGGCCTGGAAGAAGGAGTGCACCTGGAGTGCTGGATCAGCAGGGGGTCTGAGTGGCAGGAGCAGAGCAAGGAATTAGGAGAGTACTAGGAAATGAGGTCAGGGGTGACAGGGCCAGGCCAAGCAAGACTCTGTAGGCCACTCCAAAGACTTCGGCTTTTACTCTGAGTGGGAGGGGACGTCATTGGGGTTCTGTGCAGCAGACTGATGTGCACTGTAATGTGCTCACTCTGACAACTGGGTTGAGAACAGAGTGAGCAGGTGCAAGAACAGAGGCCGGAAGGTGGGTTAGGAGGCATCTGCAGTAATCTGGGTGGGAGGAGATGGTGGCCTGGACCAGGGTGCTGGAAAGCAGTCAGAGGTGGTGAGAAATGGACAGAACCTGGCTCTGTTTTGAAGGTAAGACCAACAGGGTTTGCAGATGGATCAGATATGGGCTGTGAGAGAAATAGGGTTCAGGTAGCCACCCACTAGAAGAGTGGAGGTACCCTTACTGAGAAGACAAAGCCTGTGGGAGGAGCAGGTATCACAGATTTGCACACATCTGAAAGGCTGCTCAGCATCTAAGTGCAGGCATGGGATAAGCAGTTAGATAGACCTGGGGTTCAGGAGAGAGGTCTAGGCTAGACATACACATTTTTCAGCATATGAAGGTATTTAAAGCCAAGAGACTGGAGAGATCACTAAGTCAGTGTGCAGAGAAGGGAAAGTAAAGACGGTTACAGGTGGAATGACTCAAAGGAGCAGCCAGAGACATGGAGGGAACCAAGAGAACAGTGGAAGGATGTTCAAATGGGGGCGCTGGTGAGGATTGTAATCAGTTGTGGAAATAACAACTCACATGTGTACACTGCTTCTGTACACACATGCTATCTTACTGTTTGAGGATCATGATGTCTTAATCTCTATTTTATAGATTGGAAAACAAAGGCTAAGAATGGATAAACTAACTTGGCCACCTGGATGAACAGGCAGTAAATTGGCAAATTGTCACTCAAACATGGGTCTTCTGACTCCAATCTCAGATATTCATGTTATTTGATTCCTCTTCCTTCCCACGATCCCCTCTGCCTAGGGCCTGGGGTCTCCATCCAGAGGCAGCAGAACAGAAAGTCTAGAGAAGGTCCTTCCCTGCCTGATCCCAGGATCCTTCATGAAGGTTAACAGTGGGCAGTTCCCCCCAGCATAGGGGCCCAGGGACCCTGACTGTAAAAGGACAGAGGCTGGACTGCCTGCCCCGCCTCCCGCTACTCACCATATTTCTGCTTGAGGAACAGTGACGACCCACAGCACTGCAGCTCGCCCTTGGTCAGGATGGCGATGCGGTCTCCCAGCAGGTCGGCCTCATCCATGAAGTGGGTGGTCAGCAGGATGGTGCGGTCCCTCTTCTGCTGCTGAAGAAGATCCCAGATGGCTCTCCTGGAGATGGCATCCAAGCCCGAGGTGGGCTCATCCAGTATCAACACCTGGAGGGCAGAGGCACAGCCTTGTGGTGATGGTGCCATAGGTCCCCTGGTAGCTCAAGTTCTACAAAGAGGCAGCACTAATGCCCATGTCAGACTTCCCATCCAGGGCATCAAGGGCCAAGGTGCCCAGGCCATGGCTGAAGGGCCAGTGGCCAGCCCAGTCTGAGCAGGAGCCAGACCCTGCTGCTTCTGGGCCCCCCATGCTTGGGGCCCCTGACCCATGCTGCCTCAGGAGGACGGGCCCTCTGCCCGTACCATGGAGCCTGCTATGAGGGCACTGCCAATGGAGAGCTTGCGCTTCATCCCCCCGCTCAGGAACCTGCACTGGGAGTTCCACTTGTCCTCCAGACTGAGGACGTGCAGCATCTGCTTGACTTCTTCTGGACACTTCTGGAGTGATAAGCCTTTCAGCTGAAACAGTGGGGCAGGGGTGGGGGGAAAAGGGAAGGAAGAGAGATGAGGCCGGGTCTTCAAATGGGAGCTGACACCATCCAGTGAACATTTTGCTTGTATATACATAAACTGTACTCAATAAAGATACTCAAGAACCTTACTACTTTCAGGGAAAGGGATAGACAAAAGGCTTTTGCATTTTGAACTATGTAAATAAATATATGACTTAATAAAAGTAAGTACAGCAGCATATTAAAAGGATTACACCTCATAACCAAGTGGGATTTATCCCAGGAATGCAAGGGTGGTTCAACGTATGGAAAATCAATGTAAGGGTTTTATAATAAAGAATTTGGCTGGCCTTTGTCCCTTGTTCCTTGGGGGGAGCCTCCAAATTTCCCAAGTGATAGAAGTGTCTTTGTGATTCATGGTGGTCCCCTTGGGACATACCTGAGATTATGCTAACAAGGTGACTCAGAATTGGGGGCGGTCATGCCAGAAAGACCAACCATTGATTAGAGGATTGGGGCTTTGAGCTGTGTGATATCAGCCTGAACTCCTGACCTCCTGGAAGTGCAGGGAAGGGAGGCTGGAGATTGAGTTCAATCATGTAGGTGGCCAATGATTCAATCATTCAAGCCTATGTAATGAAACCCCAATAAAAACTCTGGACACTCAAAGTTCAAGTGAGGTACCCTGATAGACACTGATGTGTTGGGAGCATCATACATCCTGAAGACCCAGAAGCTTCACATTTGGGGCTCTTTCAGACCTTGCCCCTTGCGTATGCTCTTTTGGCTTGTTCTGAATTGTATCCTTTAAAATAAAACTGCAATCATAAAGTGTGGTGCTTTATTGTGTTCTGTCAGTTGTTCTAGTGAATTAATGAACCTGAAGGCATAGTAAGAGCTCCAAATTATAGCTACTTTGCCAGAAGTGTTTTGTTTGTCTGGGAGCTCCCAAGCTTGTGGGTTTCTGAAGTAGGGGCAGTTTTGTGGGTGATTGTACCTTTAATGTGTGAAGTCTGCACTAACTCCATGGTTAGCATTAAATTGTATTGCACTAATACAGCATATTAACAGAATGAAGGACAAGAATCACATGATAATCTCAGTAGACACAGAAAGGCATTTGACAAAATTCAACACCCTTGCATGATAAAAACCTCAACAAACTAGGAATGAAAAGGAACTTCCTCAGCATGATAATGGGTGTCTATGGAAAATCCACAGCTAACATCATCCTTAATGGTAAAACTAAAAGCTTCCCCCCAAGATCAAGAACAACACAAGAATGTCCACTTTTGTCACTTTATTCAACATTGTAGGGCCGGCCTGGTAGCGCACTGGAGAGTACGCCACTTGGGAGTGCGGCGGCGCTCCCGCCGAGGGTTCAGATCCCATGTGGAGACTGGTTCCCGCTCACTGGCTGAACGCGGTGCAGGCACAACACCGAGGGTTGCGATCCCATTACCGGTCAGTAAAAAAGACAAAAAGGAAGAAAAAAAAAACAAAAAACATTGTACTGAGGGTTGTAGCCAGGGAAATTAGGCAAGAAAAAGAAATAAAAGTTATCTGGATTGGAAGGAAGAAGTAAAACTATCTCCTATTGGTAGATCACATGATCTTAAATATAGAAAACCTTAGAGAATCCACAAAAAACTATTAAAGCTAGTAAATGAGTTCAGCAAATTACAGGATACAAGATAAATATACAAATGCAAGTGTATTTCTTTACACTAGAAGTTGACAATCCAAAAATGAAATTACAAAACCAATTCCACTATATTAGCATAACAAAAAATAAAATCTTTAGGAATAAATTTAATGAAGGATGTGCAAGAATCTGGCATGATAATCATTGGCTATGTAATTGAACTCAATCTCCAGCTTTCCTTCCCTCCCAGGATGTCAGGAGTTCAGGCTAATATCACATGGCTGAAAGCCCCCTCTAATCACATGGATGGTCTTTCCGGCAAGACCAGCCTCCATTCTCAGTCACTGTGTTAGCATAAACTCAGGTATAACCCGAACCACCACAAGTACCAAAGACATTCCTACCACTCAGGAAATTACCAGTATTTAGAGACTCCCTCCCGGGAACTAGGGACAACTACAAAACATTGTTGAAAGACATTAAAGAAAACCTCAATAAATGGAAATATATTTTATGTTCATGGATTAGAACACTTTTAATATTGTTAAGATGACATTACTACCCAAAGAAACCTACAGATTCAATGAAATCCCTATCAAAATTCCAGTAGCATTTTTTTCATTTCTCTCTCTCTCTCTTTTTTGGTAAAAATGGGCATGCTAATCTGAAAATTCATATGGAAATGCAAGGGATTCATAATAGCCAAAACAATGTTGAAAAGAACAAAGTTAGAGGACTCACACTTCCTGATTTCAAAAATGATTACTAAGTTACAGTGATAAGACATTGTGATACTGGCATAAGGATGGACATAAAGAACAATGGAATAGAATTAAGAGTCCCAAAACAATCCCATTCATCTATGGTAAATTGATTTTCGACAAGGGTGCCAATATCATTCAATGGGGAAAGAACAGTCTTTTCAACAAATGTTGCTGAGGCAACTGGATATCCACATGCAAAACAATAAATGTGGACCCCTACCTGACACTACACAAAAATTTATTCAGAATGGATCAAAGCTCTAAATGTAAGGACTAAAACTATGAAATCTGAGAAGGAAACACAGGTGTGAAACCTAGTCAATGGTTTTTAAAATATGACACCAAAATCACAAGTTACAAATAAAAAAATAGATAAACTGGACTTCATCAAAATTGTTAACCTTCATGTATCAAAGAACATCACTAGTAAAGGGAAAGGACAATGCACAGAATGGGAGAAAATATTTGCAAATCATTTATCTGATAAAGGTCTAGGATCTAGAATATATTTTTAAAATCTCTCACAACTCAACTACAAATAGGTAAACAACCCAATTGAAAAATGGTTGGGCCGAGCCCGTGGCGCACTCGGGAGAGTGTGGCACTGGGAGCGCAGCAGCGCTCCCGCCACAGGTTCGGATCCTATATAGGGATGACTGGTGCGCTCACAGTGCTCACTGGCTGAGCGCAGTGTGGCCGGTCTCAAAAAGGACAAAAAAAAAAAAAAAAAGGTCAAAGAACCCAAATAGACGTTTCTCTAAAGAAGTATACAAATGGCCAAAAGGCACACAAAAATATGCTCAAACTCATTAGTCATCAGGAAAATGAAAATCAAAACCACGAGACACTACTTCACAACCCTATAATGGCAGTTTCTCAAAAAGTAAAAAAGAAGAAAAAAAGTTAAACACAGAGTTATCATATGACTCATGAATTTCACTCCTAAGTATATAAGGGTACTTCAATAAGTTCATGGAAAGATTTGCACTATCTTTTAATTCTATTTCTCCATGAACTTTTTGAAGTACCCTTGTATAATCAAAAGAACTGAAAATAGATGTTCAAACAAAAAATTGGACACCAATGTTCACAGCAGAACTATTCACAAAGCCAAAGGGTAGAAACTACCCAGACGTCTATCAACTGATAAACAAAATGTGGTATACTCATACAATGGAATAGTTTTCACTGTAAAAAGGAATGAAGTGCTGATACATGCTAAAACATGAATAATCCTTGAAAACATTATGTTAAGTGAAATAATCCAGACACAAAAAAACACATATTGTATAATTCTACTTACATAAAATTTATGTATCCAGGATACATAAATCCATAGAAACAGAAAACAGTTTGAGGGTTGCCCAGGACTAGAGGGCAGGAGCAATGCAAAGTGACTGCTAATGGATATAAGTTCACTTTTGGGGCACTGAAAACGTTCTGCAATTAGATAGCGGTGACAGTTTCACAATATTGTGAGTATAATAAAAACCACTGAATTGGATAAAATGAGGAAAATGGTAAATTTTATGTCATGAATTTTATCTCAATAAAAAGTAAAAAATTAAAAATTAAAAAGTCATAGTTTCTAGAAATCCTTTAACTCAGAAATCTTGACTTAAATGCCACCACCCTCCCCATTCCTGAATGTTCAAGGAATAGTGTTCAGAAGAGGTTTCAAGACTATAACACAATAAGAAATATATATTTGGTTTCTTCCCTGGTTCCTGACACAAAACTCCTAAAGCCCTTGTAATTTCCTGAGTGATAGGGGTGCTAGAAGCATCTTTTGTTCTAATATTTGATCTCTGAGTTGATCTTTGATTTGATATCTGATTTGGTTCCTTACACAGAGCTCCTAAATTTCTTGGAATTTCCTGGGCGATAGGAGTATCTTTTGTTCTAAGGATGAGACTCTCGATGGGCCCTTAGATAGCTTCAGGGTGGGAGCTGGTCACTAGAAAGACCAAGTCATGATTAGAAGCTTGGAACTTTCAGCCCCACCCCCCATCCTCCAGGGAGGGGGAGAGAGGCTGGAGATTTAACTAATAATCAATTATGCCTACACAATGAAGCCTGCATAAAAATCTCCAAACTATGGGATTTGGAGAGTTTCTGGATTGGTGAACCAACTGAGGTGCTGGCAAGTGGCACTCGGAAAGGGCACAGAAACTCTGTGCTCCTTCCCACGTAATTGCCCTATGTACCTCCTCATCTGGTTGTAGATCTGTATCCTTTATAATATCCTTTATAATAAATTAGTAAACATAAGGAAATGTTTCCTGTAGTTTTGTGAGCCATTATAGCAAATTATTGAACCCAGGGAGGGGTTGTGGGAACCCCCTGACTGATAGCCACTTGGTCAGAAGTAAGGTGATGCCTGGGACATCAGGATTGGCATCCGAAGTAGGGGGAAGTCTTGTGGGACTGAGCCCTTAACCTGTGGGGTCTGCACTAACTCCAGGTATTCAGTGTCAAAACTGAGTTGAAGGACACCCAGTTGATATCTGGAGAGCTGGAGAATTGGCTGGTGTGGGAAACTCCCCCCCTCCACCCCACATTCAGTGTCAGAAGTGTTAAGGGTAGAGAAACACGAGTTTTCCCTTTAACGACCCTCCCAGTTTGGGTCAGAGAGCTGCAGTCTATCTCACCATTCCCCAAAACTGATATGGAGGAGACAAATCCCTGTTATTCACCAACTTACCTGAGCATAGAAAGAAAGATGTTCTGATACTGTGAAATTATCAAATAAAATATCATGTTGGGGGCACCAGCCCAGGCTCTTCCTAATTTTAGCCATGTCTTGTGAAATTTCATATCCATTGATATATACCCATCCACTTGAAGGTGGAATAAGACCTAGAAGCAAGTGGAAGATATTTTAAAGTCATCCTCAGTGATAGCACATGGCAACACAGGGCCTATCGACATCCTCGTGCTTTGCTTTGGGTGTTCTCACACAGGCAGTCCTTATTCTACTTCTCTACCATGGCCGGTCAATCAGTAACAACCAAGGAGCATAGGTGTGCATGCATGTGTGGGGAATATTAAGATAGGAGATGTCCTTCCTGCTTTTTTTTTTTTTTTTTGTGACCGGTAAGGGGATCACAAGCCTTGGCTTGGTGTCGTCAGCACCATGCTCAGCCAGTGAGCGAACCGGCCATCCCTATATAGGATTCAAACCTGCAGCGGGAGCGCTGCTGTGCTCCCAGCGCTGCACTCTCCTGAGTGAGCCACGGGGTAGGCCCCTTCCTGCTTTTGAGGAATTCCAAACTGGTTAAGTAAATAAAACACACAAAGGCGCTCAAAAAGCAGATTATATTACTGCAAATGTTAAATAATAAGTTGGATGCCTAGTAAATACAATTCAGGAGAAAAATATTTGGGGAATCTAACAGTTTTGAATTGAGATTCTTGAAGGCAAGGTCTATGACTTATTTATCTCTGATTCCCAATAAACATCTGTTCAATGAACAAATGAATGAACAGCTGCACTCACTGCCCAACGTATGCCAGTGTAAAACTCTGCAGCCTGCCTGCCTGCATGCTATCTTGTTCTCATTTTCTTACTCTAAGTATGTTTTCATATTGAAAAAAGACATACATTCTTATTGCAACAAGGTTAGAATAAGGCATAACAAAGAAAACAACGGTTATACAAGTCCTGTCATTAAAAGATAACTGCTGTTAACATTTTGCTATGTGGCCTTATGTATTTTTTATGCACAACCAACTCACACTTTCATTTTTTTAAAAAAATGGAAAAATATAATTCTGTTGTTTAAACTGGCTTTTTAAAAATAGAACAATGGGATGGCCGGCCCGGTGGCGCACTGCTATAGTGCGCCGCTTGGGAAGCGTGGTGGCGCTCCCGCCGAGGGTTCGGATCCCACATACAGACCGGTTCCCGCTCACGGGCTGAGCGAGGCATGGGAGCAACACTGAGGGTTGCGATCCCGTTGCCGGTCCCGGCCCGGTACGGGGGCGACACTGAGGGTTGCGATCCGTTGCCGGACACGGAAAAAGACAAAAAGGAAAAAATAAATAATAAAAAAAATAAAAATAAAAAATAAAAATATAACAATGGGGCCGGCCCGGTGGCGCACTCGGTAGAGTGCGGCACTTGGGAGCGCGGCGGCACTCCCGCCGAGAGTTTGGATCCCATATAGAGACCGGTCCGCTTGCTGGTTGAGCGCAGTGCAGGCGCGACACCGAGGGTTGCGATCCCATTGCTGGTCGCGGTACAGGCGCAACACCGAGGGTTGCGATCCCGTTACTGGTCACGAAAAAAGACAAAAAGGAAAAAAAAAATATATATATATATATAAAACAATGTATCAAGGTCACTTGTCTACCCATCAACAAAATCTAGATCATTTTTAAGGACTGAAAGGATTTTGTTGTGATGAATATGCCCTATTTATTTATTCAACCCACATTGATGGGTATTTAGGTTATTTGCAGTTTTTCATAAGTATAAACATGTGATATAACTTTGCCTACTTCCCCAATTATTTCCTGACTCTAAATCAATGTAAGTAGATTCAGTCAAAAGAGTGACAAAACTTTAAAGTTTTTTGATACTTATTGCAAATTACCCACTGGTTGGGTTTTTAGATTTTCCATTTTGTCCGTGAATGATAAAGCATCTATGATTGTTTGGGGATAAAAAGGAAAAAAGGTGATACCATTCTGTAGTAAATGCAACAAGTATTTTTATGTGAAGTTATAAAAATAGAAGAACTAAATAGAAAAACTTATAGAAAAGCCAAAACAAACAAACATATAACTTTCCCGTGCAGAGAAATGGGGCTTAAGACACCAAACATGCCTGTGCCAAGTTTTGGGCCTTTCTGCAAACAATTATAATATAGAAGCCCTTTGCTATCTGATGTCCTGGGCAATCAGCAGATTTTCCTTCCCAGATTAGCATCTTCAGGGCTTCTGAATCCCATTATATGTCTTATAGTTGTGCCACTTTCTCCAGGGCAGTGTTAGCTTTTTTCTATGCCATGTCACTGCTGGAGGAAATCTGTGGAGGAGCTTCTCTGATATATCATTCACAGTCTGCATTTTGTCAGTATTTGCAATTATATTAACTAATTAATTCAGTAATTTATTCAATGACATTTATTTATTTATTTAGGTTTTTTATTGTGGTAAAATAGATTGATATGGATGGTATCTCCCAAGTTTTATGTATTAGTAGCTTGATGCCCACTGTGACTGTTAAGAAGGTGGGAAATCCTATTACGGTAATTGAAAGATAAGGCCTTCAAGAGGTGATCAGATTCTGAGGACCATGCCTAGTGAACAGATTAAAAATGGTAGTCAGGGACATGGCTCTGAGGGGGCTTTAAGAGGATAGTGAATGAGGAGGTTGGTCTCTCTCTGCTCCACCATTTTCTACCATGTGAGACTCCTGCGTTGCTGTAAAGCCACTACCAAAGAAGGCCCTCACCATAAGTGTCCCTAGTCTTTGGACTTCCCAGCCTCCAAAACTGTAAACAATAAATTTCATTTTCTTATAAATCACCCAGTTCCAGGTATTTTGTTATAAGCAACATAGATAGACTAATATATATATATATAACATAAGCATTGCCATTTTAAGCATTTTTAAACATACAATTGCATGGAATTACATTCACAATGCTATGTGACCACCACCTCTACTTATTTCTGAAACTTTTTCATCATCCTAAACTTAAACTCTGTACCCATTAAGCAATAACTTCTCATTATTCCTTCCCCCCAGTTTCTGGCAACCTCTTATCCACCTCTGTCTCTGAAATCTTTTTTTTTTTTCTTCTTCTTCTTAATGGACATGATTATTCAATGATATTTATTGGGTGCCTATTCTGGCCAAGCACTGTTCTGGCACTGTGGATCCAGAAGTAAACAGAACAGATTCTCTGCAGAGAGGAATAGCGGGGGAGACAGAGAAATAACACACATATATACAAACAAATGAAATAATTACAGACTTGGAGGAATACTGGGAGCAGAAAAAGAAGGAAGGCAATAGGGAAGAGTCTGAGCTGTGTTTCTATCAGGTGGCCTCCCTAAACAGTGCTAGTACCTGGCTTGCCTCCTGGACCACTTAGCCTGGGGTTCTAGCTGGATCACCCTTCAGGCAGTGAGGATCTCACAAGCCTCCACAGGAGGAGAGGCTTTCCCTAAATGGTCCCACTGCCGGGAACAGCAATGCCTACACCTGAGAGTCAACCAGCCTTCTAGAAACAAACACTACGGAAACTGGCTGGGTTCAGTCCCCAGTCTTGACATACACACAGACTTGGTTTTAGAGTCTTGCTTGCAGAAGGCCAGCCAGAGACACGTCCAACCAAGCTTCACTGTTTTGCTGCTCTTCAAAAATCTTCAATGGAAGGTGCATCAGCAGCGTGTGAAGAGAATCAAGACAGCCTAACTTTGAGGAGCTAATAGTTTACAGCAGTCGGTATTCTGTGTGCTACAAGGAAGAACTGGTTGGCTTTAAGAGCTCCCTGAAGGTTGAAAATGCATCTCACTGGTTTTGTACAGAACTTTGCACATATTAAGTCTTCAATAAATATATGTTTCTTGAATGGGTTTTCAGATCTCGCAGAATATTATTTTAGTTGCTGGAATGTGAAAGAATTATTTGGGCATAAAAATTATTCTGAAACTAAAATCATTTTAGAATAATTCACCAGGCAGCATTCTAAAAGTGCCTCTGGCAATCAAAAGCAAATGGGTAGAACTTTTTGTTGAGGGATTGATGGTGCCTCAGTGTAACAGGAAGGGTCTATCAGGAAAGAAACATGTTGAGTACCATTCATAGCTTCTCAATAGTGAATGATGTTAAGTTCTGCAGATTGATTGAAACAAGCAAAGATTTCCTCTTGCTGGTACAGGGTAAAATAAATGACCACACACTACATAGATGATAAAACAAAAAACAAACAACGCTTGATATTAAAATGCCAGTGAAATCTAATGAGGGGAGATGGAGCCAAAAGTCTACATCTGTTCAATGATTTCTTCAGGGCTTCCTGAGGAGGGCTGACCCCACACATGTACCTGTGAGCATGAAGCAGATGCTGGTTTTTCCTGCTCCGTTGTGTCCCAGGAGAACAGTGATCTGCCCCCTGTACATATTCATGGTCATACCTTTGATTGCTGTGTGTTCACGCCTTCCCTTGTAAAACACCTGTAGAAAAGTCAAGGTGTGACTGACAGCATAACATGAACACATGAGTGGCATTTCTCAAGAACCCATGACGGGCTGCGTACTCACATCAACCTCCCTGAAAAGTTCATCAGTGGGAATCCATGTGTGGGAATCCAAGTGGAAGTTTAAAGAGGAAGCCCCTTCTACAGTTTAACTGCCTAGAGCTACTAAGGAAGCAGACCAGGAGCGGTCCTGGGGATCTGTCTTCTCCTTGGTCCCTGGAACCTGATAGTGGAGAACCTGAACCACAGAGGGCCTGGAGCTCAAGCGTGAAGTACTCGGAGTATGAGCGGGCACTCTTCTCCCTGCTTCTGGAGCCAGATCTTGCTCTGCATCACCCGGCTAAGACCCTGAGAAAGGGCACCCTGCTTCTTTTGTGGGAGGTGTTGATCTTGGGAGGGAATCCCAGACAGACAAGCCTATTTTCCAAGTCAAATAAATCCAGTGTTTTAAATATTATTTTTTTTCTTATTATACAAGCAATTCATATATAAGCTTATAAAGAGTAAATAAAAATACCTATATGCCGCTCCCAGAGACAGCTTTAGACTATTTCTGTCCTGTCTAATGGTATTTGGGATGGAATCCAGATCCTACAGTCGGGTGTAACTTAGATGTCACTTCTTCCCACAACCTAATTATGTTTGGGAGCAGGGTGCTGCTGAAAGGAATTTGATAAACTTCCCCTGCTCCCACATCTGTTTGATCTCGATTGTTTTAAGGGATGATCTATGGAAGGAAAAGAAGGGAGGAAGGAAGGAAAGAAGGAAAAAATCTTGCCAAAATAAAGAATTTTAATCCTTATCTTTCCCCACAGATGAGCTACAGTAGCCATCTTGCAACCACAAAATGATAAGCACGTAGATGAAAGCTAACAGGTTACAAATTACAAATGACCCAAGGAACATCAGTTAATCATTCAATCAACCAGAAGAGCTGTGGTTTGGGATAGCTTTGTTGAACAGCTGAAATGATGCCTGAACTATCTGCCTGCAGACTGCTTATTATGTGAAAAAAGAAAACAAAATTCCCACAGTCAGTTGGGTGAAAACTAAAGCATTCCTAACTATTACCATAGTACGCGGAGGAGCTGGAACTATTGCCCATTTCATGAATCCTCGCTAGGATGTGATCTCCTTGATCCCATGAACAGAAGAAGGCAATACAAAGTGCTGAATAGGGCCTCAAGTGTGACAGTGCTGCACCATTGATGGTACCTTTCCTTCATAGTGAAAAATGGAAGATTTCCAATAAAAAAACAAGCTCTATAGGACACTCCGGGGCATACAGATTACATCCAGGCATCTTGTTATGATAGTCCTAAGCACAGAGTCTGCATGTAGCCAGTGCTCAGCAGACACTTGTAGAAGAGCAAACACCTCTATTTCTACATTTGGAAGCCAGGAGTGAAATCTGGTTTACAATTCAATCTGCTATATAAAAATGCTGGTGGATAAAAGTCATCCATCAAATGGCTGAATTCTTCAACAAAGGGGTGTTTTGGCATTGGGAGGATGAGAGGACACTGTTTTCAAAAAGAGATCATCTAGACCCTCCACCCAGTCATTTTAACTTTATAACAGGAAATAGGACATTTCAAGTTATAGTTCTAATTTTGAGGATAGTATTACAGAAGGGAATTAAAATTCTCAACCACAGACATACCTTGTAACTACTCTTAGAATAAAACAGATGCTTATATGGACTATTTCTTAAGTTCTTGGAAGATTTGTGAGCTGATACCTTGTATAGATGTTGGATTTCAATTCCTTTTATCAAATCTGTAGGTTCTTCCTCAATGAACTCGCTTTTCAGGGCTTTTCCGGGATCCCCCATGAACAGCTGTGATTGTGTAACAGATACACGTTTTCCACACCAGTAGGAGGTCTGGAGAAGAAGTCAACTTATACATTAATCATCTAGGTGACCTGACTTTCTTTTCTGGAAGATAATATTTTGGTAAATTAGATTTTCCCACTCCACGGTTTACTTGTTGTATCAAATATTTAATGGTGCCTGGAGAAGTTAAGCAAATTGCTCATGGACTCATTACTAATCAACTGCATTTCAACCTACAAACCATGGTCCCAAGGATGGAGCTACAAAAGAGGCCTCCTATGCAGGCTCCTGGTGTACAAGGGAAACCATGGTGTCAGCACTCAGCGTCCCTAGGGACTGAGGCCTGGAGAAATACTAGAGTCAACCATTAATCATTTCCCCACACTCTAAGAAGGGCGAACATGGCAACCTTTGCAGAGGTCACAGCTGAGCACCTGTACAGGATCAGGGACACCAGAGGCTGCTGCAGGAGGAATCAGGACTGAATCAGGCATGAGGAGCTCAACTTTGTAAGAAAAACTTGGTCATCATGGGAGAGAAGTGATTCTGAGAATTTCACGGGGATTTTCAATGAAAGCTGCGCCCTCTGCCAGCGCCCTGGGGGTCACAGAGGTCTCAAAGAGTTTCAGGGCCATTTCAACAGTGCAGCTCATTGGGGAAAGAGGCAGCCAGAGGGCTCTAGCATAGGAGAATGTGAGTCCTAACATTTGAGTGGACACATGTAAGACTATGCAGGTACTCTTGCGGAGACTCTGTATGGGACTGACGCTACCAGTCCCAGCCCACTGTATAAGCAGAGGGCAAGAGTCAGAGAAACTGAGACTCACCATTAATTATGCTCCATTGACAACCACAAGTTGATAGGTTTGGGATGAACTCAGCTTAGAGACCTCATGGAGTTTGAGATGTTAATCAGGGCATCACCGAGAGGGGTATAGATATTGATAACAAACAAGAGAAAGTCTAATGTCATCTATAAGACAGCAGCATCAGTACTCACCATGATGAAGAAGTACCAAGGCTTGGGTGTACCGTACTTCCCTGGGAAGACGGACTCCACGTACCAGGCTATCAAGCAGTATAAGAAAGAGTCCAGCAGCAGCAGCAGCAGCACCTGAGTGAAGTTAAACTCTCCACTTACACTGCCTATATTCTTCCACTGGATGCCTGTGCCTATTACAAAGGAAGGAAACAGTCACTACATCAAAGACAGAGAGGGGTTACCAGAACAATGACAAGACTGGACTATTTGTGTCTGTGGTGTTACGGGACCAACACTAGGCACAGGAAAGGGGAAGGCTAGAGAAGTTTCTCCCATGAGTTAAAACTTTTTTATTATTGGCAAAAGGTGACAGTAATTTCACTGGTACCAAGAAGAAATTTGGCCATCTAAGACATGTCTCCATGCTTTGCACATGCTATGTGGAATACTTCCCCCGCCCTCTTTGCTTGGCTACTTCTTACTTCAAAGATCAGATAAGATAGCTCCTTACCCAAGAAGCATGTATACCCACTCTCCTTGTCTGGATTAGATGTGCAATCCATGTGCATCCAGAGGACCCCATGCTAACTCTTAGAAGCTCCTGCACTGCATTGTGAATCACTGTGTTCACTTATCACTGTCCCCAGTGCGTGTGGTCTGTGGGACTGGGGACTATCTTTTATCTCAATATCTCCAGCACCTGACCCAGGGTCTATTATGTAGTACACATTCAAAACATGCTTATTCCAGGAATAAAGGAAAGCACTGACGAAGGGCTTGGGACCAATTCTCAGATACATATGGAGATATGTATCCCATGTGAGTCAAGTGTCTAATCTGAATACAAGCTGGCAAAGCTTTTCATTGAAAGCATCCAAGCTGCTGCACATCTGCTGCCAACACAGCAGTATCAAGGAGGTAGAAATTAGTAACACCACAGGAGAGATCTGAGTGCTGGTGAGCAGACAGACGGGCTAGATCAATGCTCCTCTAACTTGAACATGCTTGCTAATCACCTGGGGATTTTGTTAAAATGCAGATTCTGATGAGGTAGGTCCGGGTGGGCTCAGAATTCTGCATTTCTAACAAGATCTCTGGGAGTGCTGATGCTGCAGTTGACACAGGTCACACTCTGAGGAGCAAGGGCCAGTTGACCTCTAAGGCCCTTCCAGTGATCAGATTCTTTGATTTGTGTCTGTTTGTGCCCACCAAGAGCTTTGCCTTTCTATCTTTTGCATTTGGGGTTACAAACAGGTCTTGCACATCTCAGGACTGATTCTAAAGCTGCTGCAAATGTTAAGCATACTTAGTTCATGAAAGCCAGGTACATCCTCATCCAATACAAAGTCCGCAGTGTCCAAATGGAAGAGAAAGACAAAGCTCCTTTTCCACCTCAGTAGAACTTTGATTGTCAATTTTATTTTTATTTATTGTGAATATACATATAGAAAAGTGCATAAAATAATTTAACAATTACAAAGAAAATACCTGTGAAAAACTATGCCCCAAATCAATCACCCCAAAGATCCCAACTGTGCACACTCCATTACAACCCCATCTCTATACTGATATTTATATGCAGCACATAGTTGGGTTTTGCATTTTTATCCAATCTGACAGTTTCTTTTTTTTTTTTTATAAGATGACCAGTAAGGGGATCTTAACCCTTGACTTGGTGTCATCAGCATCACACTCTCCTGAGTGAGCCACAGGCCGGCCCTGACAGTTTCTTTTTAATTGGTATATTTAGATTGTGAATGTCATCAAAATTGAAATGGAATCGCTTTTGTTTAAAAAAAAAAAAGCAAAAAACCCTGCCAGATAGAGCTGGGGAAGGCCATGAAGGGAGATTTCTCATGCACAAACGTCTGATAAAAATTTTCACAAAGGACTCTTCAAAACTACAACCTTGCACAGAGGCCATCAAAAACTTACACAAAAATACTCCACAAGAACATCTGCACAGCAGCTGCCTGTCCAACCTCAGAATGGCCTCACCCTTGTTGTTGATCCTCATAGCCAAGGATAATTATCCCAAACAATTATGTAACCCTCCATTGCAGTGTTATAATCCCAATTAAACTCATTTTTCTTTCAGAGAGCCTCTCTCTGTTTGTTATGCACATTAACAAGATCATTCACATTTAATGTGATTACTGATTGTCTGGATTAAAATCTATCATCTTGCCAGCTCTTTACTGTTTGTTCCAAACTATCACTTCTTTTTTCCTCTTTTTTTGCCTTTTCTTGCATTAATGGAGAATTTTTTTATGATTCCATTTTATCTTCACTATTGACTTATTATTTAAACCACTTTTAAAAATTTAGTATTGCCCTTGGGTGTAAAATATACATCTTTAACTAGTCGGAATCTGTCTTCAAACAATATTCTACTGTTTCAGGTGTTGGGTAAGAACCTCAAGACACTGTATTCTCAATTCTTCCTCCCATCCTTTGTGCTATTGTTGACATACATTACACTTCTACACAAGCTATGAACACAATCCATTGCTACTGTTTTTGCTTTAGCTAAAACAAAAACAGCTCCCTTTTAAAGCAAAAATAAATTAGACAAAATGAACTTATTTTCCATTTTCAGTGCTCTTAATTTGTTTGTGTAGATCCAAATTTCTGTCTTGTATGATATACTTTTTGACTTCCAATCAAGATGGTGGAATAGACAGTCTGCAGCATCACTCTCTCCCACAAATCAACGAATTTCAACTATAAAAATGTAACATCAGCCAAGGTGGGCTGCTGGAGCTCAGGTGAAGAGAAGGAGAGACCTATGGAACTCATGAAGGCAGGAGAAACCATGAAGAGAAAGAAAAAACTGCTCTCAGTGTTTTGGTCTGCGGCCACTTTAATGCTGGACCACATGGAGCAGGAGCTGGCAGAAGCCCCAGCTGTGCCCTTTAGATGGAGTTATGTGGAGGCAGTAGGGGAGAAGAGGACTTTGGTGGCACCCAGGACAGCAAGACCACTAATAGTGTTCCCATGGACCCACGCAAGAGTGAGGAGCCAGAACAGCTGAAAAAGGGGAGCCACTCAGAGGCCAGTGAGTCATCACAGGGGACCAGTGCAAGGCCCGTCCCATGGCAAGTGTTTGGAGCATGGGCGGTGGGGGAGATGAGCCCACCAGGAGATCACTGGGACACAGCAAGGACAGACAAGCCTCCCCCCAATCAGTGCAGAACCACTCAGAGGAGACTGGTCAGGAATGCAGAATTGTACGGGGTGCAGTTTGATGAAAAAACTCAGGCCCAGATCAGAGTTTCTACACAACCCAGGTGCAACGAGTATCTGGAGAGCTGGAAGTACCTATAAGGTCAACCATTAAACCCTGAGCTGCACAAAAAGCCTTCCCTAGGGAAACAGCAGCAAAGCAGCAATTTAGCTCAACCACACAGCTCAAGTACTGGTTCCCACAGGAAGTTCCCCTGTTTTAGAAGCAAGCAAAGGACAAAAACTTAGTTCCAGCCCAGTCATACCATGAATGCCTTGGGGCCCACCAGGGGACATGAGCATGAAGCCAGGGGTAGGACCCCCGCCCACAACCACTCACACCACCAGCACCTCAGGGCCCCACCCAGGAACCTGAGGATCGGAGTCAGGACCAGACCCCACTCCCACTTACTGGCACACCACCAATGCCTAGGGGCCTGCCCAGGGACCTGGGGCTAGCAGCCAGGGACTGGACCCCCTTCCCACAACCAGGCATGCTGTGACAGTGCCTCAGGGCCCCACCTGGGGGCCCGAGGCATGGAGAAAGGGACCAGACCTCCCTCCCACAACAAGGCAAACCACGCCAGCACCTCGGGGTCTGCCCAAGGACCCAAGGCATGGAGAAGGGGACCAGACACCCCTCCTACAACCAGGCACACAGCACTAGCACCTTGGGGCCTGCACTGGGACCCGGGGAATGGAGAATGGGACTGGAACCCCCCTCTCACAGCAGGCACACCATGCCAGCGCCTCGGGGCCTGCCCAGGGACCTGGGGCATAGAGAAGGGGACTGGACGAACCTCCCACAACCAGGCTCACCACACCAATGCTTCGGGGTCTGCCAGGGGACCCAAGGCATGGAGAAGGGCACTGGACCCCCCTCCCACAACTAGGCTCACTATGCCAGCACCTCAAGGCCCACCCAGAGACACAGGGTAAGGAGCTGGGACCAGACCCACCCTCCCACAACCAGGCATGCCAGGTCAGTGCATGAGGACCTGCCCATGGGCCCGAGGCATGGAGAAGGGGACCGGACCACCTTCCCACAACCAGGCACCCTGCGCCAATGCCTTGGGGCCTGCTCATGGACCTGGGGGAAGGAGAAGGGTACTGGACCCCCCTCCCACAACCAGGCACACCACGCCAGCTCCTTGGGGCCCATGATGGGACCTGGGGCATGGAGAAGGGGACCAGATCCACCTCCCACAACCAGGCACCCCACGCCAGCACCTTGGGGCCTGTGCTGGGACCTGGGGCATGGAGAAGGGGACCGGACACCCCTCCCACAACCAGGCACTCTGGGACAGTGAATAAGGGTCCTGCCCAGGGGCCCAAGGCACGGAGAAGGGACCGGACCCCCCTCCCACAACCAGGCACACTGTGCCAGCACCTTGGGGCCTGCCCAGGGACCTGGGGCATGGAGACGGGGACAAGACCCCTATCCCACAATCAGGCTCCCTGTCCCAGTGCCCCAGGGCCCACCCAGGGACCCAGGGTATGGAACTGAGGTCCGGACCCCCCCCAACCAGGCACTCCATGATAGTGCCTCGGGGCCTTCCTTGAGACCAGGGGCATGGAGAAGGGGACCAGAGCCCCTTCCCACAACCAGGCTCACCACGCCAGTACTTCGGGGCCTGCCCAGGGACATGGGGTAAGGTGCTGGGACCAGACCCACCCTCCCATAACCAGGCATGCCAGGTCAGTGCATCAGGGCCCACCCAGGGGCCTGAGGCATGGAGAAGGGGACCGAACCTCCCTCCCACAACGAGGCACACAATGCCAGTGCCTTGGGGCCTGCCCAGGGACCCAGGACATGGAGAAGGGGACCGGACCCCCTTCCCACTACCAGGCACCCTGCACCAATGCTTCGGGGCCCATGCTGGGACTGGGGTATGGAGCCTGGGACTGGAGCCGCCCCCTCACACAACCAAGCACCCCGTGCCAGTGCCTCAGGGCCTACCCGGGG